GGGGATGGAGGGGGAGCAGCTCCCGGTGATTCCTGCCCCGGGATCTGAGAGCGTTCCTGGAGCTCCTCTGCGCACACCTCAACGGCTTCATGGGGCGGAGGCACCAGCTGGAGCAGCTCCAGGTGGGAATTCTGGGAATTTCTGGGAATTCCGGGGAATTTCTGGGAATTTCTGGGATTGGGGATGGAGGGGGAGCAGCTCCTGGTGATTCCTGCCCCGAGACCTGAGAGCGTTCCTGAAGCTCCTCTGCGCACACCTCAATGGCTTCATGGGGCGGAGGCACCAGCTGGAGCAACTCCAGGTGGGAATTCCGGGAATTTCTGGGATTGGGAATGGAGGGGGAGCAGCTCCAGGTGGAAATGCCTGGGAATTTCTGGGGCTGGAGGTGATGGAAGTGTTGGAGTGGAGAGGAGCAATTCCAGGTGGGAATTCCCAGAAATTCTTGGGAATTCTTGGGGTTGGAGGGGGAGCAAGTCCAGGTGGAAATTCCCGGGAATTCTGAGGAATTCTGGAGTTGAGGGGGGAGCAATTCCAGGCAGGAATTCCTGATAATTCTGGGGAATTCTGGAGGTGTTGGAAGGATTGGGATCAAGAGGAGCAATTCCAGGTGGGAATAACTGGGAATTCCGGAATTGGGGGTGGAAGGGGAGCAATTCCAGGCAGGAATTCCCAGGAATTCTGGGACTGGGGAGTGGAGAGGAATTCCAGGCGGAAATTCCCTGGAATTTCCGGGGCTGGAGTTGATGGAAGTGTTGGAGTGGGGAGGAGCAATTCCAGGTGAGAATTCCTTGGAATTTCTGGGACTGGGAGTGGAGATGGAGCCCTTCCAGGTGGGAATTCCCAGAAATTCTGGAGCTGCTGGAAGGGTTGGGTGGAGGGGAGCAATCCCAAATCCCAAATTTCCTGATTATCCCAAACCCCAAATCCCAAATTTCCCCCGTTCCAGGTGCATTTTCCCGATTGGCCATGGCCGTTCCCTGTGGCAATTCCCTGTGCAACCTCCTGAGCTTCTGAATCCCAAATCCTGAATCCCAAACCCCAATTTCCTAAACCCCAAATCCCGAATTTCCCCCGTTCCAGGCGCGTTTTCCCGATTGGATCATGGGCAGTTCCCGTGGGAATTCCCTGTGCAATCTCCTGAGTTTCCAAACCCCAAATCCCAAACCTTGAATCCTGAATCCCAAATCCCGAATTGTGAATCCCAAATCCCAATTCCCTAAATCCCAAATCCCAAATTTTTCCCATTCCAGGTGCATTTTCCCTTTTGGATCATGGGCGTTCCTGTGGGAATTCCCTGTGCAATCTCCTGAGTTTCTGAATCCCAAATCCCAAATTTCCCGATTATCCCAAATCCCGAATTTCCCCATTCCAGGAACATTTTCCCGACTGTCTCGTGGGCGTTCCCCATGGAAATTCCCTGTGCAACCTCCTGAGCTTCCGAATCCCAAATCCCAAACTCTGAATCCCAAATCCTGAATTTCCCAATTATCCCAAATCCCAAATTTCCCCCATTCCAGGAGCATTTTCCTGATTGGATCATGGGCACTCCTTTGGGAATTCCCTGTGCAACCTCCTGAGCTTCCAAACCCCAAATCCCGAATTTCCCAAACCCCAAATCCCGAATTTCCTAAATCCCAAATCCCGAATTTCCCAATCATCCTGAATCCTGAATTTCCCCATTCCAGGAGCGTTTTCCCGACTGTCTCGTGGGCGTTCCCGTGGGAATTCCCTGTGCAACGTCCTGAGCCTCTGAATCCCATAAATCCTGAATCCCAAATTTCCCTAAACCCCAAATCCCGAATTTCCTAAATCCCAAATCCCGAATTTCCCCCATTTCAGGAACATTTTCACAACTGTCTCGTGGCCATTCCCATGGGAATTCCCTGTGCAACCTCCTGAGTTTCTGAATCCCAAATCCCAAACCTCGAATCCTGAATCCCAAATCCCAAATTTCCCAATTATCCCAAATCCCGAATTCCCCCCGTTTCAGGTGCATTTTCCCGACTGTCTTGTGGGCGTTCCCGTCACAATTCCCTGTGTAACCTCCTGAGTTTCCGAATCCCAAACCCCAAATCCCAAACCGAAAATCCCGAATTTCCTAAACCCCAAATCCCAAATTTCCCAATTATCCCAAATTTCCCAATTATCCCAAATTTCCCCATTCCAGGAGCGTTTTCCCGACTGTCTCGTGGGCGCTCCCCGTGGGAATTCCCTGTGCAATCTCCTGAGTTTCCGGTACCGCGTTCCCGGGAAAAATCGGGAATTGCCAGAATTCCGAGCGCGGCTCCTGTACCGGGATCCATGCGGGACCCTCCCCAGTGACGTCACTGTGACCTGCGCCTGTGAGTGTGGGGTGTGGGGGATTTGGGGTTTGGGATTCAGCAATTCCAGGATTTGGGGTTTGGGATTTGGGATTCAGCAATTCCAGGATTTGGGGTTTGGGATTTGGGATTCAGCAATTCCAGGATTTGGGATTTGGGGTTTGGGATCCCTGCAGGATCCTCCCCAGCGATGTCAGTGTAACCTGCGCCAGTGAGTGTGGGGTTTGGGGGATTTGGGGTTTGGGGTTTGGGATTCAGCAATTCCAGGATTTGGGGTTTGGGGTTTGGGATTCAGCAACTCCAGGATTTTGGGTTTGGGATTTGGGGGAATTGGGGATTTGGGGTTTGGGGTTTGGGGTTTCGGATTCAGCAATTCCGGGATTTGGGGTTTGGGATTTGAGGGATTTGGGGTTTGGGATTTTGGGATTGGGATTTGGGGTTTGGGGTTTGGGATTTGGGGGATTTGGGATTTTTCCCAGGGAATGGGGTGAAGGGAATGCCCTTGAATTGTTCCTGGGAAAGTTCATTTGGGATTTCATGAATAATTCCTGCCTGGAAAGGGTTTCCCATTATGGAAATAATGGAAATCCCATTAATGGGATTATAATGGAAAAAATGGGAAATTATAATTTCCCATTATGGAAATAATGGAAATCCCATAAATTTTCTCATGGAAAGGGTTTTCCAACAGAAATCCCATTAATTTCCCCATGGAATTCCCATTAATTTTCCCATTGAAAGGGTTTTTCCCATGCAATTTCCATAAAGTTTCTAATGGAATTCCTATTAATTCCCCCATGGAATTCCAGTTAATTTTCCCATTAATTTCCCCATGGAATTTCAATTAATTTTCCCATTAATTTTCTCATAGAATTCCCCTTAATTTTCCCATGGAATTCCCATTATTTTTTCATGGAATTCCCATTAATATTCACATGGAATTCCCATTAATATTCACATGGAATTCCCATTAATTTTCCCATGGATTTCCCATTCATTTCCTATGGAATTCCCATTAATTTCCCATAAAATTCCCGTTAATTTTCTCATGGAATTCTCATTATTATTACCATGGAATTCCCATTAATTTTTCCATAAAATTCCCATTAATTTTCCCATAAAATTCCCATTGAATTCCCACTAATTTTCCCATGGAATTCCCATTAATTTTCCCACAAAAAGCCTTTTCCCTGATAGAATTCCCATTCCCGCAATTTCCTGGAATTCCCTGGATTCCGATCCCGGGAATTCTTTCTCTCCAGAACTTTTCCAACCTCAAAAATTCCCAAAAATCCCCCTCAAAATCTGTGGAATCTCCAATCCCGGAATCGGAACGAAAACCCATCCCAACTTTTTTTATGGAATTCCGCTTTTCCCAACCCCCGAATCTCTTGGAATTCTGGGAATTTCAGGCAGAAAATCCCCTCGGGAAATGAGAATTCCCAGAAATTCCCAGAAATTCCCAGAAAATTCCCGATTTTCCAGTGGATTCCGCAGCGGCCGCGGCTCACACGGAGCTTTTCCGACGCCTGGACCTTCCCGGAGCCTTCGAATCCATGAAATCCTTGGAATTGCGGCCCTGAGCCCCCTCTGGAATTCTCATCCCTTCGGAATCGGCGCCGCGGCCTCAGGTTTGTCGGGAATTTTTGGGTTCTGGAATTCCCAAGAATTTCTGGGTTCTGGAATTCCCGGATTCTGGAGTTCCCAGGATTTTTCCAGTTCTGGAATTCCTCTGTTTGGAATTCCCAGGGATTTCTGGAATTTCAAAATTCTGGAATTCTCAGGGATTTCTCCACTTCTGGAATTCCCGGATTCTGGAATTCCTGGAGATTTCTCCGGTTCAGGAATTCCTGGGGATTTATTTGGTTCTGGAATTCCCAGGAATTTCTGGGTTCTGGAATTCCTCTGGAATTTCTCCAGTTCTGGAATTCCAAGATTCTGGAATTCCCGGGGATTTGTCCGGTTCTGGAATTCCCAGGAATTTCTGAGTTATAGAATTTCTGGGTTCTGGAATTCCAAAATTCTGGAATTCCCAGGGATTTCTCCGCTCCTGGAATTCCCGGATTCTGGATTTCCCAGGATTTTCCCAGTTCTGGAATTCCCGGGATTTTTCCAGTGCTGGAATTCCCAGATTCTGGAATTCCCAGGGATTTCTGTGGTTCTGGAATTCCTGGGGATTTCTCCGGTTTTGGGAGAGATCTGAGAAAAACTCAGGAAAAACTTGGGAAAAATCTGCAAAAATTTGGGAAAAATCGGGGAAAAAGTCAGGGAAAATCCGGGAAAAAAATTGGGAAAAATCTGGGAAAAATCCAGGAAGAACCTTGGAAAATCTGGGAAAAATTTGGGAGGAATATGGGAAAAACTGAGAAAAATCTGGGAAAAATCCTTGGAAAAATATGGGAGAAAATCTGGGAATTTGGAGTGGGAATTGGATGAAAATTTGGGATTTTTGGGTTTTTTTTCAGGATAAAATCCTTTGGATCAGCTCTGGCACTCCTTAAAAAAAGCGGGAAGAGCACGGAATCATCCACGCCGGGAATTCCAGGATTATCCATGGAAATATTCCCGGTTTTCCAGTGGAACTTTGGGAATTTGTTAATAAAGCCCCACATTCCCAAAATTCCGAGCTTTTATGGAAAATCCGTCGCTTTCCTGGAATTCTGTCCTGGGAATTTAAAAAAAAGAGGGATTTTTCCATGGAATGGGAAAACTGTGGGATTCGGAATTCCGGGAATTTTCTGATTTCTTTTTCCCCATTGAAGCTCCGCGGGGAATTCCTGGAATTCTGGATCCTTTCCTGAATTTTGGGGGATTTCCGGAATTCCAAACCTGGGGAAATTTGGGAGTTCTGATTCCAGAAAATTTGGGAATTCTGATCCTGGGAAATTTGGGAATTCTGATCCTGAGGATTTTGGGAATTCTGATCCCAGGAAATTTGGGAATTTTGATCCTGGGGGGAATTTGGGAATTCTGATCCTGAAGAATTTGGGAATTCCAATCCTGGAGGATTTTGGGAATTCCGATTCCGGAGGATTTTGGGAATTCTGATCCCGGGAAATTTGGGAATTAAACAATTAAATTTCCTTGGGAATTGAACAGAATTCCTTGGGAATTTAACTTTTTTTTGGGGAATTCAATAATTTCCTTGGGAATTCGAGTTTTCCTTGGGAATTAAGCAGTTAATTTGGGAATTAAACAATTAATTTGGGAATTAAACAGTTTCTTGTGGAATTGGGTGGTTTCCTTGGGAATTAAAAAGTTTTCCTTGGGAATGAAACCATTTCCTTGGGAATTACACAGAAAAATTGGGAATTGTGCACTTTTCCTCGGGAATTAAAGTTTCTTTGGGAATTTTGCAGATAATTTGGGAATTTTGGGGTTTTTCACGGGAATGAGACCATTTTCCTTGGGAATTAAAGGTTTTTTTGGATTTCAATCATTTCCTTGGGAATTCAAGTTTTCCTTGGGAATTCCAATTTTTTCTTGGGAATTAAGCAATTAATTTGGGAATTAAACCATTTCTTTGGGAATTGGGCGGTTTTCTTTGGGAATAAAACTTTTTTTTGGGAATTCAGTCATTTCTTTGGGAATTAGGATTTTCCTTGGGAATTAAACAATTAATTTGGGAATGAAACAGTTTCCTTGGGAATTTTGCAGATAATTTGGGAATTTTTGGGTATTCCACAGGAATTGAACAGAATTCCTTAGGAATTAAACTGTTTTTTGGGAATTCAATCATTTCCTTGGGAATTTGTGTTTTCCTTGGGAATTCAGGAGTTAATTTGGGAATTAAACAACTAATTTGGGAATCAAACAACTAATTTGGGAATTAAAGAGTTTCTTTGGGAATTAAAAAGTTTTCCTTGGGAATGAAACTTTTTCTTTGGGAATTCAATCGTTTCCTTGGGAATTTCAGTTTTCCTTGGGAATTCGGGAGTTAATTTGGGAATTAAGCATTTTCTTTGGGAATTGGGCGGTTTTCTTGGAAATTAAAAAGTTTTCCTTGGGAATTTGAGTTTTCCTTGGGAATTAAACAGTTTCTTTGGGAATTGGGTGAGTTTTTCCCAGGAATGTCCCGGGATGGATTTGGATCCCCCTGGGATCGGGGTTGGGTCGGGATGATCCCTAAAAATCCCAAAATCCCCATTCCAGGGGCACATTCCCGGTTTTCCCGATCCCCTCCCGCTGTTCCCATCCCGTTTTTCCCGATCCCACAATCCCGACAAGAATTCCTCCGAGTTTTTCTGATCGATTTTATGGGATAACTCCACGATCCTCCTGCGCCTCCTTCCCCAAATTCCGGCTCCGAATCCGGGAGGAATTCCCGGAAAATCCCAGATTTGTCCCGCTCCGGGAATTCGATGATCCATCCCTGAGTTTGGATCTCCCGGAATCGACGCCGCTCCAGGTCCCGCTGTCCTTCCCGGAAAATTCCGGGAAAATCCCGAAAAACCCCAGGTGCCATTGTCCTTCCCGGAAAATCCTGGGAAAACCCCGGGATTGCCATCCCTCTCAGAAAATCCCAGGAAAATCCTGGAAAATCCAGGAAAATCCCAGGTGCTGCCGTCCTTCCTGGAAAATCCAGGAAAATCCCAAAAAACCCCAGTTCCGCTGTCCTTCCTGGAAAATCCCAGAAAAATCCCAGAAAATTCCAGAAAATCACAGGAAAATCCCAAAAAACTCCAGGTGCTGTTGTCCTTCCCGGAAAATCCCAGAAAACCCCAAGTGCTGCCCTCCTTCTTGGAAAATCCCAGGAAAATCCAGGAAAATCCCAGAAAACCCCAGGTGTTGTTGTCCTTCGCGGAAAATCCTGGGTCCCGCCGTTCTTTCCTGAAAATCCCAGGGAAATCCAGGAAAATCCAAAAAAAACCCGGTGTTGCTGTCCTTCCAAGGAAACCCTAGGAAAATCCTAGAAAATGCCCAGGAAAATCCTGGAAAATCCCAGGTGCTGCCGTCCTTCGTGGAAAATCCTGGGTCCCACAATTCTTCCTGGGAAATTCCGGGAAAATTCCAGGAAAATCCCGGGAAAATCCCAGAAAAGTCCCAGAAAAATCCCAGAAAACCCCAGGAAAATCCTAGAAAATCCCGGGTCCCGCCGTCCTTCCCAGAAAATGCCAGGAAAATCCCAGAAAACTCCAGGTGCCGTCATCCTTCCCGGAAAATCCAAGAAAATGCCGGGAAAATCCAAGAAAATGCCAAGAAAATCCCAAAAAAC